TAGGGAAAGTAAGCAGAGGAATACCAGTTGAAAGTGTGAGCTAGTTGCCTAGCTGCTAAGCATCGTGAAGACTTACAGGCTTATGATGTAGATTTATGTAGATTTATGATCTAGATGACTTTGAGAACTTTACAATTAAAAATTTAAGATTTAATAGATTTTAAGTACTTTCATACTTAAGCTGCAATTAAACAGGAATTTAGGATCTTTATTTTGGACTTGGCTAATAGCCTTCTATGTTACTCTGTAAGATATAGGACTAACTTCCATGATTTTCAGCTGACTATTCCTACATAATAGGACACATTCTAGCTCTACATAATGTTGCTGTCTCTTCCACATGAAAGAATCCTTACCATCAGAAAAGCTACTACACTTTGGATTGCAGCATACCTGCCAACATCTGTTACTACAAGACTAATAAATGGGTTATATATCTATCGTTGACTAAATATATCACAACTGTGAAACTGATCCAGCTAATTTGAGAATGACCTTATTCAAGATTAAAATGTGAAAATAATGTAACACAATGCTATAATTTGATTAATTATGCAGTATGAAAAATGAGTGCTTGGAATATATTCAGCAAATTCTAGTATTCAGGAAATAATTACTGTGTTGAAAATCTACTGAGCTCAGCAGTGCTTTAGTAAGGCCTTGAACCTGCAGTCCTCATTAAGTAGACTGAAACTCCATTTGTATCACATTTTGTAAAATGGGAAGATGTTTATTGGTTTAAAATGTCAAAGCAGATATTAGGAAAGCTGTAAGAGAAGATTTGTATTAATCTATGTTGGAAAGCATTCAATTTTGTTTCAATAGAAAAGAAAATGTTATTTTTTAAAGAATATGCCAGTTTAGGATAATTATAAAAAATCATCTATCTTTTGGGAACCAACATTTCCATTGTGAAAAAGGAAGTTGTCGTAACAGCTTATAAGTATTATACTTTTCACAGTATAAACCAGTATACTGTTATTTTGCTAATTCTTCAAACTAAAAGAGCAACTGCTCTAGTAACTGGAGTTCTCCTACTTATGTAGGATACTGACTTTAAAGTCTAGTTGTGAACATATAAGATCTGCTATGATTTAAGAGCAAATTTAAATACACTATAAATAGGAATATAAGTGCAAATACAAAACCAGTATTAGATAAATCTGATATAATAGAATTTGTTAAACATTTTGTTTAAACTAGGTGAACACAGAACCAGAAGCAGCAATTGTAAAGAGAACAAGAAGTAAAATTTATTCACAGTAGCTGCCGTCCCATTTTTTTTTAAAAAAAGGAAAAAAGCACTCAAAACATTTGTCTGAAGACTAAGGGTTTGATTCCCTGCTGATTACTCTACTTGGCACTGATATAGCTTTAAAGTCACAGGAAATACCCTCCAATAAAATGGGTGTATTACAGTCATAATTCTAAGGTCTACAGCAATGGAAGTGATCTAAAATATTTTATCATTTTTATTGAATGATTATGTTTGCTACCCATTTTTTTCAGATTAACAGTCCTTAAGACTGGATTTTTTCTGGTGGGGATGGCTGGTTTATATCATAGTTCTTTTTTTCTTCTTTCCAAAATTATAAAACTATACAAATTACAAAGTTATTTACCTCAAGGAAAAAAGCTATTTTCCCTGTGTTTACTAGCTTTGTTTTGCTGTCTTGCAGGAATTTAAGGCAAAATCAAAAGAATGGGACAAGAAGGGGACAATCTGCCAAAATCATCTCATTTATTTAGATGCTCAACAAAAATTACTGTCCGAAAAATGTAATTTATTTCAGGTAAAATTCCTACCTCCTTGCTTTAGGAACAAAATGAGCTGTTAGCTCAGCTGGAGTTATTTTAATTTAATTTAAAAAATCACAATACATGGATATAATGGTAGTGAATACATTGCTTTAAGTAAGGCAGACCCATACCGAAAGATCTAATGATACATATAGTTATTTTATCTTTCTCATGAAAATGAGAAAATGAGTATCATGATGAAAATGACAGTATTTCTGATAAAAATACTTTTTCAAGTATACTGTGGAGATACTTTTATCTTTGATATTTACTAATATGCTGTTGTGATGACAAGATATTGAAATGTACTTTATCAAGTAAGTAGTACATGCCATTACTGTATTGACTCAAATATAAAGTTCTCTCAAATCTAAGATAGTCTTTTTTTTTGAAGATCATAAATATACATTAATATAATTTATGCAGAAAAATTATTTTGTATATGCTACTCCAAAATCACACTTGGAGTTGTTTGTTGGATTGCATATCCCTTTATCATATTTTTCAGCTTTCAAGTTACTATTCAGTCCTTGGTTCACTTTGTGATTCTTTTTTACTTGCCAATTTGCTTACTACTTTTTTTTATATAGCCTATTGACCTAGCGTTTTTTCAGTTCCTTCCAATTCAGAACAAAACATTGATTTAATGATGTCTTGATGATCTATCTTGCTCTAAAAAAAAATTAGAAAATAATTTACAAATTAGCTGGACCACAAGGCAGCTCGAAAATTAAGGAGAAGCCAGTTACGTTGCTGACTGGTAATCCCCTTTTCCACTGTTACTAAGCTTATTGGGTCTTAATCTAGTGAGACACTTTCTTAGCAATTCCTGTAAAACTCTCTACTCATATCCAGAGTTTCCAAGGATGACAGTTAAGTTTTGGATTTAGATGCTGAAAGCATTATATTGCAACTATTGAACTTTCATACAAATGTGTTAAAAAAACAAGGCTCTGACTAGACAACACTACTGACTGATGCATGTTGATTACATAGGTAGACAAGTCAAAACAGAGTACTCAAGGTGATCGCTCACATTTTTTTATTGAAGCTTACATCACTGCCATCAGTGAACTTTCTTTGGAGATTATTTTCTTCACAACTGTAACATAACACCAACTAGTTTATTAAATAGAAGCCTGATGGACTATTACCTCTTAACTGTTCCAAAAGCATTAATTGGTCCTGTGTCTTTGTCTCAAACTCTTCCTTTGTGAGGTCTTTGATTTCCAGTTGGAGTCTGTCCCGATCCAATGTCAGGGAGGTTTCATTACAATCCCAGGGACGAGGTCAAGACACTGGATTGAGTCAAATGTCGTACAACCCTTCAGCTTTATTTTTGATGAACGGGGAGAAAAGAACTATATAAAGAGACAACCGGGAGAGTGGGGAAGAGTAAAGGGAAGAGAGGGGAAAAAGAGAGAGAGATAGGGAGATAGATAGATAGAAAGATAGAGGGGGAGAGGGTCTGAGTAGGGGAGGAATCTAGCTACCACCACTCCAAGTCCAGTGATGTTCCGTTAGCTCCATCTGTGATTTCCAAGCATCACAGGCTTTGTCGAAGCAGATTCCGGGAGATACACGAGGAGGAGAGGAAGAAGGAGAAAAGCCCCCTCACTGGAGCGCGTGTGCTCCTTTATAGGGGTCAGGTCCCATGCCCATGCACAGATCGCAATTGCATACGTGCAGTTTGTGCTATACGTGCTGCCCCCTCGGGAAGCCCTCCTCTGCCCCCTCCCCTCTCCTTTTTTTCGCGCCCTGGCTGTTGCGCAAGCACATGGAGGCACTTGTCCGCAGAGCACAAGGGCAGTGTCCTCTGAGGCAGGATGTTAACATAGGGAAGTGGGGGTGCGACGGCAATATCGCACCACATATAGTTACGGTCTTCTACAGAGTCTTGTACTGTATTTTTCACAGGATGCTTTGACATTATGGTATATCGGACTCCATAACTTTTTTTGTTATTATTGTTATATGTAGAAATTTATTATTTATTATCTGTAGGTATTAATTTATTAATTTTATTTATTTATCTATAGAAATTAAACTTACCTGCAAATTTCTTCTGGCTTTTTATTTGATATGCAGCCAGTGGTCAGTTCTACTTAGGTGTTCAGCCAACACAAATTACGGGAACATAATCAATGACATCAAAGGCTGTCTAAAGCATGCGTTTTTGCAGTCCTTATCAATGAAATGCAGTATTTGTAACCCTATTTATTTTTAATATTAATTTTCTTGCTCGACTTGATCTCTGCATATGATATATGGTTTCCAGGTTATATCTTCTTGTCATTTTTCAGCTAATTCTCAGTCTTCTGAAAGATTTCTGCTGCTTGTTAATCTCCCAGTAGAGGGATCCATGTGGATAATTTTTTAAACTACAAAAACAGTTACCATAGTAATTATGCTTCTTCATGATGCCTGTGAATTCACAAATACTGGCAATACCACTTTTCTGAAGTTTTAGGTTTAGGATTTTAATTAGTACAAGAAACTGAATGGAGTGTGGGACTCTGCAGAACGTGCAAATGATTCTTCCCCAAGTTTAAGGATAATGATATCAAAGAAGTACAGTTACTGTAGTAACTGAGCTGTTTATACATGAACTATGTAATGCTAGTTCTCTAGTCAAAGGTTAATATCTATCCTGAGGCACACACACACACAACGCCTACTGAGTTCGATAAATCAAAGAAGAACATTTCTCTAATATTATTTTTTATAGGTAACTGCTTTGCATAGGTCATCATAAGCACCTTTTTCACATTTGGGGCTAATTAACATTAAGTGCTAGGGAAATACACAGCAGAGGAGAAAAATCCTTGGAAAAATTCTGTGCCCTTGCAGTTTCTGAAACATTTTTCTTACTGAAAGCAAAGAACTTGAGACTAAAAAAAAAAAAAATGTATCCTTTAGAGAAGTAATACAAACTGTTCCAAATCTGACATCTTTTCTAAGCAAATACTGATGAAAATGGAAAAAGCTTTATGATTTTAGTAGTAATGGTTTGATTTTCATTTAACAGATTTTCTTGTTTTACACAAGCAGACCCAGAATTATCAAGTCCAAATAAGCAATAAGAAACAAAACCAAGAGGAGGTAATTACCTATGGCCAGCCCGAAAGTGAAAAGGATGAGTTGATTATTGAAAAACTAAAGGCAACTGCGAATGAAATAGCAATAAACAAGAATAAACTAGAAGAGGAAAATCTGAAACTCCGGGAGGATCTAAAAATGTACCAAAACCAATGTCAGGTAGCAATACTTTTTCTCTTTCATGATGACTGTTGAATTAATGTTGGAACATTAATTACTTAAGAGTATACTTTTAAAAAGTTATAATGACATGCCTATATAAAGGATCAGTACATTAGTTATATTCTTTGCAGCAACGCAGAATGAGCTGTGAACAGTACAATTTTTTTGAGTAACACATAAAGAGAAAACAGAAATATGTTTGATATGTAGTAGTATATTTTATTCTTGTCTGTTTATCTAGCATTTATAACTTTCCTGTATCCATATCATCTACAGGAACTTGACCTAGTTCACTTGGTTCCTTGTATATAAATGACTTCTATGAAATGTCTTTATCTGATTTACACCTTGTTGTACACTGTGCCATATAGCTAGTAAATACGTATATAGAAAAGTGTATGGTATACTTCATTATTGAGAGAAGATTTCGCAGTCAATGAATTTTTAAGTTGCCAGCCATGTGAAGAACCATGTGAAGTCATTTTTTATCTTATCCCTAGAGTACTGTTTTTCAGCGCAGCACTGATCTATGAAGAGAGGCATTTGGGCCTCTTCATTTGGTCATGATATATGAGTTCTGACAAGATTGAGATAATACAAGATCTTTACAGCCTTTTTTATTAGCTATGTTTGAAACAGATCAGGAATGAGATTCTCGTTGCTATTTTTTTTTTCTGGTAACATATATAAATTATGGTTTTGCTTATTTATTTAAGTACGTCAAGGTTCAGTAATATATTGAGTGCCCTACAGTGACTTCGAGTCTTTCTGGAGAAAGATAATCTATTTCTTTTATAAACAACCTTGCAGAATTATAACTTCATATGCAGTATACTTTATAGGAATTAACATATATGTGGCAGAGGTTTATTTCAGCTGTTGTCAGAACAGCCAAGTCTAGCATGTGTTGTTGATACATTTCATTTGCACATTAGTTCACTGAGTCATTTGCCTGTATACAAGTTATCAGTATGCAAGCAAAAACTTCTGTTTTGGGGCCTGTTAAAAAAGCTGCCATCAAAAATAGTGGAACTAGAGTATGGAATGGAACAAATCAAAGTGAAGAGGGAGGTGCTGATCTCTTCTCCTTGGTACCCAGCAATAGGATATGTGGGAATGGTTCAAAGTCTTTGTCAGTGTTTAAGGGGCATTTGTACAATGCCCTTAACAACATGCTCTAACTTCGTCAGCCCTGAATTGGTCAGGTAGTTGAACTAGATGATCAGTGTAGGTCCCTTCCAACTGAAATAGTTCTGTTCTGTCCTGTTCTGTTCTGTTCTCTATTCTATTCTATTCTATTCTATTCTATTCTATTCTATGGCAACTGCAGCAGGTGGATAGATGCTGTACTACAGAGAGAGTAGATGCCATCATGCTGTAGCCTTCAAGAAAACAGTCAAGGAAGAGGATTTTTGGAATTGTGTGAACATAATACAGGAGCTGTAGGAAGCGCTGAAGACATTTTAAGTAGAAGTGGAGCTAGAGCTACATAACATTATCAGCTAAAGGGCAGAAAGTTGCAGAATAACTGTGCTGGTGTTGTGGAATACTGTGTTCGTTAGAAAAGTTGCATTTGCAAATAGCTGCAGAAGAAAACACTGATGTAAAGTCATCATCAATGTACGGTGAAAACGTGTAGCTCAGAAAATATTTTTTTAGGAATGTCGATACAAGAAAGAAGGAAGTGCGAGGCCTGTTGTCAGCCAGAAGGAGTAAGCAAGTTTGCATGAAGGAGTGCTAGGTGGAGGATGGGAATAGTTGGACCCGATGTGGGTGAGGGAGGGAGGAGTAGATGGGAATCTTGGTAAGGCTGATGGCAATGCAGCAAGCCTAGTATTGTGCCACATATATCTTCTATGTCTATGAGCATTTCATGTCTGCTTCTAAATATTTCTCGTACTATTAATTAGCAAGGAAACAGTGATAAAGTGAAACGCATGGAAGACCAATTTGTTGACTGTACAGAAAATACAAACTTTAGAAGATCCAAACTGAGACTGCAGACTGTTTCTCTACCTTGTGAATGGCCTGACAAATATAATTGCAGCATACATGAGAGGCAGCCTGAAAACATCACACAGGAAGCTTGGTTCTTGGAAAGTCTGTATTAAGTCAGCTGGTGGACACTAATTTACATAGAAATACAGCATATAATTGTATAAGAAAGGTTGAACAGCTTTGAGTAGAATTAGAACAGGAGCTGATCAGGAGAATTTTGAGACTTCCTTTTGATATCAAACATGGCAAGCTAGCTAAAGCAAAACTTTTCATGGAAGAAAGGATTTGGTAAATTTTTCAGCTTGAAACAGACTTTTAAAATATTTCATTAGATATTTTCTAAAAAAAAAAACGCTAAAGTTTTCTGGTTCAAAATTAATTTTTATTTTGATGTTTTAACTAGATGCAATAGATATTTCCTAAAATAATAAGTGGTACATATCTAAATGGTTTTTTTTAAGTGATGTGTGAAACTCTTGACCTGAGGTTCTGTTTAAATTATTATTGTGGCTGCTCTTGTTCCTGCTATTATTATAATTCACAGAAGAAAATACAATTTATGTAAATATGTATGATGACTGCAGTCTGCCACAGATGATATGACTTCCATCACACAACTGTGTAGCATTCATTCCCCTTATCCACCCCAGAATGAATTCAGAGGGGTAACCCTCCCCCAAATTCATACATTATAAAATAATCGTGGCCATTTCTTGAACATTGAAGTCATGAAGATGATCATAAGCAAGTCTTGCAGACAATTTTAACAATTCATTAAGCTTTATTTCATGTGAATATGCCCAGATTTGCATTTCAGAGTTTAAAAAAGCTCTCTCAGCCTTAATTTAACAAAGGGTAAGATTAATTAATCTGTATATGCAGCCCCTATAAAAAACGCAAAAGCGCTTCATATCTGTCTTTAGCAGCCCTTTCAGCCAGAGGAAAACCACAGGCTTCTTGGAAGGAAGGTCATTCTAATATGAGGCTCTAAGGGAAATAAACCTTTGAAGTTCCTTGCTTGTGGTGTCATTTCTGGATTCCAGTTGCCTTTTGAAAGTTTAAAGGCTTTATTTTTGCTTTTAAACATGGAAACAATATTAAAATAAAATGACATGAAGAAATTATGAAAAATACTACTGGCTTTAGTATAATAGTGTTAAAGGCAAAGGGTCAACATCCTTGGAAAATATTATTTTTTAAATCTGGAACACAATTTGGTTCTTGGGTGAGAGGAAATAAATATTCTCTGGATATTATTATTGCAAGAATCTGATAATTACTGATACTTTTGTTATTTGTGGGTTGTATTTCCAAGTTTTTATCTTTAGTATGTTTTCAGTATATTTTGGAGGAATTATGATTTTTTTGGGAATTCAGATTTTATGATGCCAAATGTAGCATGTATCTTCAGGTTGTCTATCACATTATCAATCAGAAATTAAAAGTAAAATAGAGATAACATTTGTGGAGTCCTTAAGAAAAATATTTTTATGATTGTTTGAAAAATTTATCATGTTCATTTAAATAAACAATTAACTCCATGCAGATGGAACTAGTTTTGGAGATGATTGAACACATACTTTATCTAAGTACATAAAGCTAGATGTATCTGCTCCAAGCTTCCATGTTTAACGAAGCACCTAATCATGCACCTAACCCTGCCTTTCTATAGCCTTGCGGTTTTCAAGCTTATAAATTTGGAAATGCTGTTAGGAAAATAGAAAATGGAATTTACTTATGGATCTAATTCTTGCATATGAAGCACATTCTAGGGTGCAGAACCTGCTGAAATAAGCAAACTATGTATTTTAGATGCATTTAGTACAATAAAGAACTTCTGAATGATCTTTCCTATGATAGTTTCAGAGACAGATGCATTGGAACATTGCAAGAGCTAAAGAGTATTCAGCACCTGATTTTTAGATGACATTTCTGGAAAAAAGAACTGACATGAAAGCAATACCTTTTTCAGAAATGAAACTCAAAATAAAAGCATGTATGTCCTTTCATACAAACTGTACAGGTATTGAAAATGATGTGTCAAAATACAGCACTTTGAGCTGTCTAATTTTATTTAACTATTTATGTATTTGCTTGTTTCTTTAGAACATGGAGGCAAGCTTTTCAGAAATGAGAAATGAGCTGCAGTCACGGGATGCTCTCTGGAGAAGGATACAAATGGAATGCAAACAGTTGCATACAGAATTATTGAAAATCAGAGAGTATAAAGATATGCAGGAAATTCAAATAAAGTATGTGTGTTGAAGACAATATTTAAATTAACAAGTCTTTCTGAGCTAATAACTTTTTTCTTACATTTTATTTATATTAAGTCTGTTCAAAAAGATACTCTGGATTCAAATGTCAGATTCTAAACAATTTTAGAAAAAACATTTTCATTGGCAATTATATATGACAAGATTGCAAGCAACAGATGCAGGCTCTGTTAAAAGGCTTTAATGCTGCCTAGATCTTTACAAATCAATGCATTTTTGTACTTATATTTATATGTTTACAATCTCTTTCATTTTCTCGGCATTAAAACACTTTGGAAGTAGTGCGATTAAGATTCTCCCTAAATTCCTTTGAGTAAAATGTTCATCTTTTTATGGTTTATCTAATCTACCATAGCTATTTGAGATTATATGAAATACCAATCTACAAGAGATTTCAAGATTGTTTCTGCACTCACTTGCATTGTCCTTCATCTCTAGAAATCTCTCAAAATCCAACCTGGTTTAGGCCAAATCTTCGGCTGTTTGGTTTTTTTTCCAACAGCAAGCAGGTCTTCCACAGTTTTACCCTGCAGAGAGGATACTGTAAGGCAAAGGTTGAATGTTCTGCTTCTTTCATGTTTTGTTTATTTCTTATTTAAAGGCATCAATCATCTTGTGTACAACTTACTGAGCAACTAGAAAATAAAAACACTGAGTTATTACTATTAGCACAAAGTCAAGAACACCAACGAGAAGAGCTAAACAAGGTATTTCATGTTATTAAGTATTTCCAGATCTTAACTGTAACACAGCATTTTTAGAAGAGAGCAAAGTACTGATCTTGGGTATAAATTGCGGATTTGGGAGAGCACAAAGTTTTCATAAATGAAAAAGTTTTCATATATGGTGGCATTTCTGGAGGTAGTTGTATAGCTGTAAAATTGACATTTGGATTCTGTGTGCTAATGACAGATCTAGCTACTTCATTGAAATAATGGAAGAGACCATGCCTAAGCATCACAGTGATTCAGGGAATACCATGCAAGTAATAAACCCTCCAAGGCTATGAGTAATTAATAGGCTATAGGAGGTAAGTAGTGGTTTGTAGGTGGTCTCCAAGGTAGGGTATGCCAACAGATCAACTGATACAAGTCACTCTGGTGGGTACCTACACAAGGTTAAGCTTCATCAGTCACCTGCTGCACAGTGCTCTTTAGTTTGAACTATATGTGTCACATTGCATTGTACATTTCCGCAGTGCTGTGTGCAAGCAGTAGTGGCATGGCACTGTGCAATGGCATGTGGCTTGGCAGGACAAAACACTTTGGGAGCAGAGGATGCTCAGAACTCCTCTTACAGGCATGTTGTGGTTTTGCTGAGTAGCAATGTAAGCAGGAATATCTCTAATTGGATGCAGCTGACTTGGATGCAGCAGTTTTGGCATGATAGTCATGATCTAGCTCTTAGGTTTTTTGCATCTACATCTATTTGTTTCCAATTCTGTGTAGTTTGCATAAATAAAAATGAAATGCCATCTGTTACTGATTGTGTACAGCACTGCGAGGAATTATTAAAATGGGTTCAAAGGTTGTTAAGCTGGTTTTTGTAGTTTTGTTTCTTACATAATAAAATCTATCAGTACTAAATTGTTAGTTATAGTTGAAAGATTATGAAAACAATCTTAGTGTTGATTCTTTGGAGAACTCTGCACAGGAGATAGTACAGAAAATTTGACCTTAAATTTTATATATAATGGCAGGAAGAATTCTCATAATGTGATTTACCATATATACTCTTTATTTCTAACATAGTTTCTCATTAAAGAGTCTCTAGATTGATTTATTGATATTGCTCCTAAGTTAATTTAGGCTACATTAAACTTATTTTAAACCTAAATTAACTTAGGAGCAATATCAATAAATCATACTTAGGTTTATTGAATGGATATTTCCTTAGATATTCTTTGCCATAAATTCTGATTTTTAAAATTAACATTATTTTTATTACATTCTTTTTAAATGTTAATTTAAATGCCTTGTATTTTGTTCATTTCTAATACTAAATAGGCAAATGAAAGCACAAGAGAAGGGTTGAAAAAAGATGTAAAAATAAATAAAGCTCTGTGCATTTACTCATTAAGACATTTTATTATACAATCTCAGAAATCTTTGATTTGGTTAGAAGAGTTGATGTCTTGCGAGCAACTGCAAAAAAAAAGTCACTGGTAGGTAGCAAGTGATGCAATCATATTTACCGCACAACATTTTTTCTTTTTGAAACATATTTGCTACAGATAAGAAACCATGTTTATCAAGAGGAGCAGTACCATCGCTCTGAGCAGGAAAGAATGAAGACAGAAATCTCTGACCTGACAGAAGAGCTTCATCAGAAGGAGATCACTATAGCAACTATCATGGAGAAAGCTAGTCTTCTGGAAAGACAGTTAAAAATGGAGTTAGAGATAAAAGAGAAATTGTTAACTAAACAACAGGTATGCAAGCAGGCAAAACCAGCCTAGATCGTTTTACTCCACGCTATTGATAATGATACATATTCTCTGTGAATAAAAAGACATTACATTTCTTGCTGGAGTTTTCATCACAGTGCTGTAATATTTGTGAAGTATCACTCAAGCAGCCAAATTGATAGCGGAACAAGAAAACACTAGTAAATGTCAACTGTACATCAAAATTTCAATTCATTCTGACCATCGAACATAGTTACCATTTTAACATGAAAAAGATCTTGAAAACTTTCAGGTTTTTTTAATTACATGTGCATTGTCATTAGAACAGTTTATTAGATTATCTAGAATGTTTCTTAATTTTTCAGCTTTTCTTAAAGCTTTTTGAAGAATGTTACAAATCTGTTTTGAAACTTCTGGTAATTTTAAAGCTGAAAACTGTAAGATACCAGTGTTTTAATGGCAAAATTCAGTTTTAAAAGGAAATATGTTATCTTCATTACTTAGTTTTGTAAACCAAAAGAACCTTCATGTTTAGAGGTTTCTGGGTATCTCTGAGTTTTCTGAGAGGGTCACTGCATATTGAAAATTGTGATCAGTGCAATACTTTACTTTTGACAATAGGAGAGTTAGTGTTTGGGAAAACGAGGGACATCTGCTACTGTATGGCACTCTTTACCAGGCCATATTCCCTATTGCATCACTAAAAGAGCGGATGTCGTTTCTAGGCTTCATGACTAGGATTTCATCCAGTTTCAGTGGCCTGCAAAATCTATCCCTCTTTGTATCTCATAACTGCATGTGAACTCCGTTATTTTCCTAAGTAAGTGATTGCTTCTTTCAAAAAGGTAAACAAAATCAGAAGCATTGCATTTGTATATCTTTTATAGATGATTTAAGACTATTCTGCTTTAGTATTGCTGTATTTAAAAAAAGCATTATAATTAGTTTCATAATGCTTTATGTATATTTTGTAAACTTATACTTACATACATCTATAATCAGTGTTATTTCAAGTTAACAGAAATATTCTTGCATTTAACTAAGAATTGAATCTTTTCCTAGCTGTTGGATTTCCAGTACAAAGTTATCAAATCTGAAAACACACATCTAAAAGAGATGGTGGAAAACCAGGAGTGTAAAAGTTGCACGGTAATTTATCTCTGCAATATGCAGAACAGTTACTTTTAATTAATGATGTAAATGTATCTTGACATCATGGCAGATTTAGAGATTTCTGGCTTGCGTAAAATAAATAAATAAAAATAAGGTGTGTGACATAATCAAAACCAAGAGGTATACACACAGCCTGAAGATGGGTATAGCTAGGAGTAATTTTGACCTCAGTTGTAGTAAACTAGAAGTTAGCTAAATTTTTTAGTAACTGTCTAGACACTGAACAGTTTCTGGAAGCTTATTTTTGTGAGTAATGTCACTTATTTCAGAAAATATTTATTTTTAAACACTCATCATTCTCACAGATACAAAAATATGTCCCTTTTTTACTATTTTACCCCTTTGATCATATGATATTTAAATAACAATGTAAAAATTGACACATTTTGCCCCCACCCAGCTTATTTTCAGAGTTTAGAATTTATTTCTCTCCAAACAGGGGATATTTAAAGTCTAATTCATAAAAAGTGTGCCATAATATCATGTAGCACTATAGTTTATATGGATATAATAAATATTATATACCCTGCCTTCCACAAAAAGCTTCAAAACATCCCCTGCTTACAGAACATCTGCAGTTATTGTATCTATCAATAGAAAAAACACTGGTATGTTTCTTGTAAATAGTGCTGTAAATACAACTTTGGGGGATTCGTAGCCTGTTCATTGTCTTACTGTAGACTGACAAATGCATGAAAGGATGTCACATTTTTCACACCCTTAAAATAGTATATACGTCAATCAGTGATGTACATACATATACAATATTAGAGATATATGTATGTGTATACATGATATATTATTGTGGAAACATAGATGGATGTGTGTATGTGTGTCTAACTCTTCTCTACAGTGATATTCTTCATGAAGATTGAGAAGAGCTGCTCACCAGAGTCCTTGTAGATATCATGTGTTTGTTAACTTTTAACAATAAAATCCATTTACTAGATAAACTAAGGTCACTACACATATCAATGCATTTGTGGACTTAATAATTCTTTCCTCCTTTAACAGTGTATTGTGAGGATCTAAACATTAAAGATTGTGAGGTTTTTGGATATTAAGATTGCAGGGACTGGAGAGATTTTTACAGATGGGTTCATACAGTACAGTAGAGCACTACACAGACCCCTCAGACTAGTGCCAGCCCAAGTCAGTATGGTGCAATGCATTGTTTAGATTTCAAAAGCAATGTAGCTACACCAGCTCCGTTTTGGGGTTCACGCCATTGTAACTGTACTGCTGATTCTAGAGCTATTAGCCGTAGGGTGACATAGCACTCTCCTCCTTCCTCTGTTCTGCCACTTCTTTCCACTTGGGAGACATAGCTGAGCACCTGCCCCCCCATCATTGCACAAAATATTAAATTTTCTTATACTTTCTGGCACTTCCATGCCAGCTTGAATCATAAATTACCCCTAAAACTAGCTAAGCAAAGCAAGGTTTACAGGAAGAGATGACAGACCAGTTAGTGCAAGGAATAGACAAGCTTTCCGGTGCAGGAGCCCTGTTGTGCTAGCAGTATACTAAGAACCAAATCCTTAATACTCACGAGTTACTGGTTTCCAAAAGAATAAGGTAAATCTAGAAATACATGAAAGCACAACTTAGTAAAATGTATGGGGTTTTAGTCTTTTGCATGTAATCTGATAAATCTTTTGAGAATTTTCTGTTGATGACAGATACTGTTATTGCAAATGTGTTTGCGCAATGCACAGCGGTATTCTGCAGAGAGGTAGTTCCAAATGAACTCGCTCAGGTGTGCAGCGCAGGCTTCGTGGAATAAGTGATAGGACAAAAAAGGAATGGGGTATCCTGGCTAGTCAACTTTCAGAGCTAATCTCCACCTTTCCCCTCTTGATACCCTAGTGGTTGGGCCTCTTTAGCCCCTGGTCGCAGTGCACGTGTTGCTTGCATTTTCAGTATTTGGACTTGTATACCATGTGGGCTAACCCAGCTGAGAGGCAGGATTTAGTAACGGAGACAGAGAGCACTGTGCTAATATGGCTTGACTTTACAACTTCTGAAACTGAAGGTGACTGTATCTCGAAACAGACATTAAATTGTGCCTGTAGACATACCCTGTATCTAGTACAGTAATGAACTTCTATAATTTTTCTTGCTGTTTTTGGTGGAATTGTTACTGGAGGGAGCAATACAGTCTGCAGCTATAGCTGGTATGGTTGCTCTTGTGTCATAAGTTTTACAATGCAAGTGATGAATTTACAATAATAATATTTCGAATGCATGTTTGTAGAGAAATTTTGTTTTCTTGTGTTATAGAGGCTGTTATCCCTTCTTTTCCATTTATCTACAGGCAATTTTCTTAGTTTGCTATAAGTGCTGCATGATTATATATGGTAGCTAGGTCTTTCTTTAGCATAGAACATTGTTTTGTGTTTGCTTGTTAAAAATGCTAATATCCATTTATTGTGGAAAAAAATAACTATTTAATGATGTTTTTATCTCCTTTCACAGAGTATAGATTTATCTAACAAAGAACATGGAAATTTCACAGCTTCCATTCACAAACTGGAACATGAGAATGTAAGATTACAAAATAGTCTTGTTAAACTACAAAATGACACAGAAACATCAATACTTGGTCACATGGATACATATGGAGAAACAGAGCACAGCTACCAAACCCATTCAGAGATGCAAGAAAAGGAAGAGAGGTAATATTTAGATTGTACACATATATGAAACTTCCAGTAAGTTTTTTGGAAGCATCTAACCGGGCCAAACTGTTAAGCTTTTTTTTTCTGTTTCTGTTCATTCAGAACTCCCACCAACATAAATATCAGGCCTAGTTACTATGTTTGTAAGAATTTCCTACAGTTTTCTGGGTGGCTAACTGAATTTGGCAATAAATGAAGTCGCAGAAATGTTTGATCATTATTTTAATATTTGTCACATAAAGCAACTTAAAAAACTTTTTATGTGCTGCTTAAGTTATTCTTAGTTCCAGGTTTTGCAAAACAGGACAGAATGTATTTTTACTGGCAAATAAAAACAAGACAAGGAAAGGATAAAAAAAAACACGAGAGGTAAACTGCTCCACAGGAGGTTATCTTAATAAGTAGTTCGAAATACATTTTTTAAAGCTTTGTGTCCCTCCAGTTTCGTTTGTTGGAAGTTTCATTAAATATATTTTAATGCTTTGTCTAGTTTTGGTGTTCTTGAGTGACCTGATTTTTAAAAGAAACATAATTTCAGGTGCCCTGAATAAATCATTACTACAATAAACTCCTTGTTAGGAAAAAATAATGAGACTTAAGGATACTCAGATTCATAGAAAACATTGTAGTGATGACTTCCTTCTTAATTCCCTGTATTCACTGAAGTACTGAATTACCTTCAAACATGTTATAATCATGGCATTTCCGTAATAAAAAGAAAATTAAACTCCCTGCTAAACAATATTTCACAGTACAGGAGAGTAAAAATTAATAGGAAGCTAAATATTTTGATCATTTGTAATAAAGAACTTACATGATAGCACTAATGTGAAACAGTTCTGTGAAGCAAGGTTTAAATAATTGGAGCCAGAATTGTGCAGGTTAAGATTTCAAACGCATACATTCAGTCTTTGGCAAAATTTAAAGTGATTTTCCTTCTGCAAAATGGAAAAGCATCCCTAGCATTCTTGCATAAAATTTCCTTTTAAATATGATGTTTAGTGTTGGAGGCAGTAGTCATGTGTATGTAAAAAACCATACATATATACGTATGTACAGATATATATGCATGTACATTATATATATATACATGGAAGTGGCAAGTATGGCTGTTTTCCTACTAGCACCTGTAGGTCTCATAATTTCACCAAAAATTGGTCAGCGCAATTTTTACTCATGCTTCCACTCTTCTTATGTGAGAAAAGTAAGATTTTTTTCCCATTTTCTCAGGAATTACACTTGCTGTACATGAGGAACTGTGAAATTTCATTCATGAGACTTTAAGTGTATGAGACAATAGAATCATGCAGGTAATTTGCAAAATTTTAATTTCATAGCCATTAAAGACCAATGTTAAACCAAAACTGGGAGAGAGAAACCTGGGAAAGCTAACCTTTCTCACCACAGAAATCTCAACCCCACTACTGAACACAATTTAAATTATAATTCTCATTAATCTGATGAAACAGATATATTGAATCAGTTTTTCAGGATCTAAAACATGCATTTGATTTCCTAAATGAAAAGCTATTCAGCTGAATAAATACATACATAGATTTCAAAAAATGTGCAAATTCCACGTGTACTGTATATACACATCAGCCAGCAACTCTTTTTAAGATTGGGCCCTGTCTATACTATCGGTTCTCTGTTTCTAAACAGGAAACTACTTCAAGCTTTTCTCAGAAAACTAAAATTAAATTTTCAACCCTCAAATGCATGCAGATAAACCAGGCAATTGATGTTGGTTCAGTTAAACTCTGGGGTATGTTTTATTTTATTGTGAGCATAAACCATGTTATTTCTGTTTTAATTTGCAGTTCTGTTTCCATGGTAATTATGGCACTGGAGAAAGGGCACAAAGACTTTTTTTACATAGTAAAAAAATAGAAAACATGGTGTTTCTGCGAGGGGAGGGTGTGTGTTTGTGTTTTAAATAGTACTTTTGAGAAGCTTTTCCTATTTGCATTCAGAAACCTAGAAAGGTTTGCAAGATGAAAAAAAAAAAGTCTTCAATCAAGTGTATTCTATAAAATTTTTCAGTCATGTCTCACAGTCAGTACTAGAATCTTAGGCATGGGCACAGTCGTTAGTTAGATAGGAGACCTCTAGAGAAAATACAGGAAATTGCAGGAAGTTATAGTGGCGATGTAGAAAGAGGCATGATTTCTTCTTTCTTTCAGTATACGGCAAATTTCTAAATATTGCAAAGTAAGATATGCAGGAGTGTCATTTTTCCTAAAAAAGACTGTGGTTACATCCTACCTATAACCGCTTTAATTAATTACTGTTCTCATATATGATAATCGACTTACTTTTAATTGCCATTTACATAAGCTTTCGCCACCCTCAAGACTTCACTCCTTTATTTAGACCCTGGCCACATTTAGTTGATGTAAATTTTGGCGTGATTGAAGAGGGCTTTCTGTGATGAAGCTGATGTGTTTAGCCTGTTTCCTCCAAAATTAAAACATGCATGTGAGTTCCCAAATGAAAGGCTATTTATTTACCATAAAAATATATGCAAAATAGGTAATTGGTCAAGTGCTCTTTCATCATGTGGCAAAAGTGAGAGGCTAGGGCTGAATGCTTACTAAGGTAGCTGGGGATTGCTTAAAGAATCTGTGTTGACAGTGAAGTATCGGTCTTGAGGTTTTCACTGCCCTTTGGAGGTCACACAGTCTCAGTGATACTCACCACTGTATCAGTTATTGCAATAACTAAACTGGAAGCAGTGAAAACAACCTCTTCAGAAAAATACTTTCTAACCATTTTTAAAATTAAGGTAGCAGTTACGCTTGCAAGGTAAAAGCAACATCACAAATTCTGAAAACACTCTGGTCATTAAAGATCTGTTTTATTTTTCAAGACTAGGTATGTCAACCAGCACAGTCTG